TCCAAAATGGCTGTACTAGGGCCGGGGATTTAGCTCAGTGGTTTCGCCGCCTGCTGCATAAGCTCAAGGACATGAGTTTGATCCCTGCTACCAAAAAACCAAAACAAAACAAAAACAGTAGGCCAAAATGACTGTACTATTCTTAAATCCTACCAGTAGTGCATGAGAGTTCTAATTTTTCTACATCCTTCACAACACTTATTATTGTCTGATTTTTAATTAAGTGATCTTAGTAGAATGAAGTAGTACATTATTGTGTTTTTGATAGTCTTCTTTTTTTGCATGACTAGGGATGTCCTTTATCATTTCATGAGCTTATTGGTTATTTGTACATCTTCTTTGGAAAACTATTTAGGTCCATAGTCAGTTTTTTAAAATTGGGCTGTCTTCTTACTAGCAGTAAATATTTTAAAAATGTGACTTCTAAGTTGCACATTGTTATAATGGCTGTGATTTCAGAATAATATTTAGGCTGGAAGGAATTATGAAAATGGACATCTACCTCCTCCATTGACAGATGAGGAAGCTGAGGCTTAGAATGGCTTTCTCGTGGCCACAAGAGAACTAGTTAGTAGCAGAGCTGTAGAGAGAAATGAATCTAAATTTTAAAAAAGGAAAACAGATTTTTCATGATATATACAGCCTTGCGTTGCTTAATAACAGGAAAATGTTCAGAGAAGTTCATCTTAGGCAAGTTTCTTGTTGTGTGAACATCATAGAGTATACTTACATAAACTAAGATGGCCATGATGTCACTAGGCATATATGACCACCATCATTTATGTGGTCCATTGTTGACCAAACTACGATTTATCATATTCAGCTAAAGCTCCTTTTTTACCAAAAATAACTTTTTGGTTTTGATATAATAGGGGCACAGGAGTAGCTCTTAGTAAATAAAGGAGCTAGGGGACTTGTCCTGAAGTTGCATTCAACTAGAAAGAACACTTTTTATTTAGATCAGTAAACATAGGAGTTCTCTAAAGATACTTCTAGTCTTTTCATAAGTCTTCTTTGAGCCCTAAAAGTGACAGCAAGTTTGTCTGGTTCATAATGACCTCTGCTGGGAGTTCATTCTTTTAGTATCCATCACAGTGGCTTTGAAGAGCTTTTTGAAGAAAGAGATTCAATCACTGGGCTTTCAGTGCAGTTGTGAAATAAAGCCTTCTTTGATTGAAAATTTACTCTTCCTATTGAAGAAAAAATAGTCTTCCATTTTGCCTAATGAAATAAAGGGGGGAAATCAAGGGTGGCTTTCTACCTGACATGTGATATGTGAGGAAGGAAAAATGGGATTTTTACCAGTTATAAAGTTCTATTGTACCTATTAGACAACACAAAACAGGAAAAAATGAATATTCACATAGGATCAATACAAAATGTCATTGTTTAAATAACGTATATGTTGGTTTTTTAAGGCAATTAGTCCACACTGCTTGAACTTCAGATTTTTCTAACAAAAATGTATATGATAAATCCCATTTTCAGGGTCTGCACTGAGTTTTTTGCCATTATGTTAAATAATTTTCTGATAAAGTGTATACTCCTCATGATTATACTGTAGTTGACTTTGATGAAAAGGGACAGCATCATTCATTAGGATATAAAAGCATTCATTCAAATCAGACCTCTAGGCTACCATGGCAAACAGTGGAAAGTTTTAACACCCACCCCAGCTTTACAATGGGAAAATCATTGTTAACTTATTGTGCTCCACCCTTAAAAATGAAATGTCCTGTGGATTTATTATATACATGGGCAGTGTGACTCTGAGCTTGTGAAAAGAGCAAACTGGTGCCATCCATGGTGCGAAGATGTACATGTTTATGGGTGTCAGCATATTTATACTTTTAGATGTATAACTTAAAAGACTGTCTGATATATAGTAGATGATCAGAAAATGTAACTGAAAAATCTTCACTACTCAGGTAGGCATGTGGATGTTAAACTGACTCATAGAAATGTTTTAAGGTATAATATGTGATTTTAAAGCATTTGAAGCATATATATATATATATATATATTTTAGTTTTCCTGTTAGGCTATAGTCTTGGGGTTTCCATTAATCTTTATGAGATCCAAGTTTCCTGTTTCCTGAAGAACAGTGACATGCTCAGTGTCCAGTTAACTTGGAAATAATAGTTTCCTTATATTTTTTCTTTCTTTTAATTTACTACTTTAATCTAGTTCCCTCATTCCAAGTGAAAAATACATTGATGTTAGGTAAGACAAATTATGTAGCACAATATTTTTCTTAGCATCTCCCCAGGATTTCTAATAACCCTATTTTTTTTCAATGTCTTCTCACCACTTAGGTTGTGTTTGGACTAGAGAACAGCATTTGAGTGCAGGGAAAAATGTGAGGAGGGCTTACTTACAGTTTAAGGAATTTATAAATACAACACTTCTCTTTGAGGTTACAGATTCTCTGAGTTAGAAGTACAGTGTTCTAGGTTGCTGATTAAGAGTCACATGATTTAGAAACCAAAGATTCAGGTGCCTGAGCCATGAAAATGAAGCCTTCTTCCCAAAGGCTGTCCTGGATCGTCTCCACCCAGACCACAGAGCTAACTACCAATAATGCCAGAATTTTCCACAGGAAGCTTTGCTGCTCTTGCCCAGCATAGAAACAATTGCCCAATTAAATCTCCAGAGTTCCATACCATAACGAAGGGCAGAAACTCTTCTGGCCTGGAAAATTTTCAGGGTAGGTGTTATCAATTGCTGGCTGTGGCTTTAGAAAAACTTGCTGATTTTGAGCTACATAATGCCTTAGAAAACTCATAAAGATGAGTAAAGTACAAAATGTGTACTTGAATGGGTGAATTGTTCTGAAAAGGGACATCATTCATTAGGATAGAAAATCATTCTTTCAAGTTAGATCTCTTAGGCAACCATGGAAAACAGTTGAAAATGTTTTAAAAATCTACATATTTCTTTATATAATACAGTAGTGGTATCATCCTAGTGAGTAGCAGTGTGACCCTAGACAAGTCATCTCTCTGTCCAGACCTCAGTTCTTTCATCTGTAAAACAAGTGGCTAGACTAGATGTTCTCAGATCTCTTGGGGTTTTTGATAGACCAATTGGATCTGTATGAAATGGTCATTTGAATTGAAATTAATTTTGAGCCATTTTATCTATTATAGTAGTACTTTGATACCAGGACCTATTGTCTATAAAAGTTACTTTAAAATATTAATTTATGGGCTGGGGATTTACCTCAGTGGTGCCGCCACCTGCCTTGCAAGTGCAAGGACCTGAGTTTTTGATCCCTGGTACCAAAAGAAAAAAAATTAATTTATATCATTGTATCATCAGAAGAGCATAAAATGTTCACTTTACATTCTTCTTTGCAATTATATAAGCAAAATATTTTCTGATAGAAGTGGGAAGGTGTCTTACTTTTCTCTTGGTGCTGAGACAGAATACCCAACACCCAAAGTTAAAGGGGAAAGGGTTTATTTAGCTCACAGTTCATAGAGGTTTCAGTCCATAATTGGCTGGCTCCAAGGCAGGGTGGCACATGGTAGAGGGTCATCAGAGAGGAGAAACAATTCATGGCACCCACACAGTAGCAAAAGCAACAAGGGAACCAACAAGCATCTTCCTGCCCCTTTTACTTTATCCAGACCACCTGGATTAGGGCAGTGGCGAACCAATCACTAAACCAAAATGGTTTAGTGATCACATGCCCTTAATCCCAGCATCACACACTCTCTATTCAGCCACCTATGACTGCATGAGGCTCTGTGGGGACATCTAAACCCAAACCATAACAGGATGCAGTTTATTCCCGACCCCTACTCTTTGATAAGGATCACTGATCTCCTGCTTTCATCAGACATTGCAGCTGCCTCCATAGGATGAGGAGGAGGTGGAGGAGGGATGAGAGGGGAGGGGTGTGAGGGATAAGGAGAAGGCAAGAAGGATCCTAATTAGTAGTCTTCTGAGTGGTCAGTGAGAGCTTCAAGGGAGACTCAACCTCTGTAGGACCTTTGTCTCAAAGGATCATTCAATTGAGATAGTCACACTGTATGATAAGAGACCCAAGAGCGTTAGTACAGTCTCTTGTTTTACAGATGAGAGAACTGAGGTCTGGAGAGAGAGGTGACTTGTCCAGGGTCACACAGCTACTCCCTGGGATTATACCACTACTGTATTGTATAAAGACGCATATAGATTTTAAAGCACTTTTACCTATTTCATTGCTTCACAGCAAGCCCCTGTGAGATATACTTGTCAAATAGCACATAAGAGTAGACGATTCCCTTTTACTGCGCCTTTACATAAAGAACTTGTAGATTATGTAAGACAAACTAATGGCTTCTAAAACTGACTTAGATTCTAAAATTAATTTTCCAAATGAGAAAACTAGCTCAGAAAGGAAAATGACTGATCCACAAATATAATTGCTAAACTAATGATAGTTACAACTAGGACACGGAAAATTTCTCTACCTCATAAAAAGTTATTGTTACATACTTATGGGGTAGAATATGATAATTTGATGCATGTATATGATATATAATGATCCAATTAGGGTAGTTAGCACTCATGTTCTTAAACAATTAAAAAGTTATATTTGTACATAATATTTATACATAATTATGAGGTACAGTATGATATTTCCTTTTTATCCAAGAAAAAGATTACACAGGCCTATGTCACTAGATAAGGCACACTGGTATAAAGAAGTCCAATATTAGAAATATACTGGAGATGACATTTAATCTCGAGAGCTTTGAATGTTATTTTCTATTAATATGGTGGCATTTTAACATTTTAAATAGATGTGCTTTTGGATAGTATAATATTTAGGTTACTTGATATAAAGTAACTATAATATTTGTGAGCAAGACTTGAACTAGAAAAATTTGTGAACTAAGAGAAATTTGTATTCAATGTATCTTCTGCATATGTAATTAAAAAGAAAAATAACTTTAAAAAAGATGCAAAGGCAATTTGCAAATAACACATTCTAATAATTTGTTTTCTAGGACCTAGTTCAGGTTCAAGATTCAAAAGTCCTGAGCTGAATTTAAAAGGCACCCAGCACGTCTTGCAAGCAGGGCAGACACTGTTTCTCAAATGCAGGTAAGAAGCTGTTTTGATTTGGGAACAATCTAGTTGCCTTTCCCAAGGCAAAAATCATTCATTCACTGGTACAGTAGAAAGGACCTTTGGAGTAAAGAGGTAGAGACCCAGGAGTCTCCTGGGATCTGCACTCTGCAGCTACAAATATCCAGCTTCACATAGAAGGTGATTCCCAAGTAGGGGACAGCATTACTCATTTAGGGGGCAATGGGGGAATGATAATGCTCAAACATTTTTGGATTTTTGATCTGAGTATTGTTGATACATGCACATTCGTGCTTATAGCAACACAGTTTACAAAGCTAAGTCTAGGAAACGGCTTATATGTCCATCCACAGATGAATGGATAAAGCGAATATGGTATTTATGGAGTACCACCATGCCATAAGGAAGTATGAATTTGAGTCATTTGCAGTGAATAGATGCTCCTTGAGACCATAATGTTAAGTGAAATAAATCAGACACACAAGTTTAAATACCACATGGTTTATCTTATATGAGAAACCCAAAATATAAATTAAAAGCAAAATCAAAGATAGATAACAGGAAGTAGGGAGATAGATTTTCTTCAAAGGGGAAGGGGACCAAGAGATGGAGGGACCAGAAGGGAAGGGGAGGGAAGGAAATGAAAGAAAGAATTAAGATGTGTTATGTACATGTACCGGTTCCCCGCAAGGAATGTAATCATTATGTAATGTGAATGGAAAAGAAAAGCAAAAAGTCATATTTTTTTCTGGAAAGAGGATGATGGGTACACGTAAGAGAGAACCTCAGGATAGTGTTTTCTACTGGCAAAATGGATGCTTAGGAACTGGTGCTGAATCCTGATCCCAGCCTTGATTGTGCTTTGTTTTCTTATCTGTGACTGCAGGAGTGAAGCACCCCATTCATGGTCTTTTCCTAAAACTGTGAGTAAGGAAAACAAACGGCTGACCATAACTAAATCTGCCTGTGGAAGGAACAGCAAACAATTCTGCAGTACTCTGACTTTGAATTCAGCTCAGGCAAACCACACTGGCTTCTACAGGTGCAAATATCTGCCTGACTCTACTTCAAATAAGAAGCAAACCGAATCTGCGATCTATATATTTATTAGTGGTAAGATTTTCATTTTTTATATTCTATTTGCTATTGCTTGGTAGTAGGTTATACATTGACCCTGATCCATTGGTAAGGTGGCTTCCTAAGGAAAGACCAGGAAAGAGATTCTACCACAGCTGTAGATATTTAAAGAATGCAATTTTAACACATTTCTTAAGTGTCAATTTCAACCAGAATTTTTTTTTTGCTAAATTATTTTATTGGTACATTTTAGGTATACAATACAATTACATTTCTCATTGGGAATTGTACCTTTAACATAATGCATCTTGGTTCTTATTTTTTCCCCATTCCTAGCCCTCCCTTCACCCTCTCCACCCTTCCCTATTTACAAAGATTTTATTTCCATGTTTTCCATTTCTCATCATTTTTCCTTTCCCTTCTTTCCTTTCCCCTGCCCCTCCCACTACCCCTACCCCTTTGGACCTTTTCTTCCTATTTTGCATTATTGATTATGCATTCTAATCATTGGTACATTTTAGGTATACAATATAATGGCATTCATCATTGGAAATTTGCACCTTTACATAGTCTCTCTTGGTTCTTATTTTTCACCCTTGCCCAGCCCTCCCTTCAACCCCTCCAGTCCTCCCTATTTACAAAGATTTTGTTCCTATTTTTCCATTTTCTCATATTAATCCCATTCCCTTCTATCCTTTCCCCTAGCCCTCCCACTTCCTTCCCCTTTGCCCCTTTTCTTCCTATTTCACATTACCTATTATACATTTTAGTCCTTATTTACACTTTCAGTTTCTCCCACCAGAGAAACTATTCGTCAACTAGAATTTTTTAAGACCCAGTCAGTAAATTGTATGCTAGGGGAAGTATGTGTGTGTATTTATTTCACCAGTGAACCCACAACATCTAGAGTAGTATCTGGCACACAGTAGGATGATTAGTGAATGGTAGAATCTTAGTTCTAATTCTTTTTTTTTCTAATTCTTAATTATTGGAAATCCCAAAATACAACACAAGATTTTGGTCCTTCAACACAACTGCATTCTCTTATATGTTAGAACCTTAAAATGTTGTCTTTTTTTTTCTGGACTAGGGATATAGCTCAGTGGTAGAGTACTGAGCATGTTCAAGAGTGCTTAGCATGTTTGTGGCCATGGCTTTAGTCCTCATCATTACACACACATGCAGTACGATTTTTTTAAACTAAATTAATGTGTAATGTTGCTATTGTTTCTAGCAATTACAAAATTAGATCCCATTGATAATAGTGTATTATTCATGTTCATTAAGCACATATTATGATGCTATAAGACTTGGCACATGCCAGTGTGCAGTGGAAAACAAAAAGGTAAAAATTAATCGTTTTCATTATAATTTTATTCTTTCCTTAGAGAATGAATATATGAAGTAATACCCAAAGGGAAGAAATGAAAAATCCTTAAAAGAATATAAACTGGCACTAGTAAGGAATCTTTGAGAAAGAATGAGAAAAGTGGCTTGTCATTGGGCTCTTCCTGATTTAGTTCCAGTTTCCAAAACTTGTAGAGGGAGATCTAGTGAACATAAAAGCAAGATTAGTAGGCATTAAAAATGACAATGATCTATCAGCATGAATAAAACTATTAGCTGCGGGTCCATCTTCTGGTGAGTTAAAGAACAAGGTCTTTGTACAGGAGGTAGTGCAATAGATTTAACATTGTGGTGGAATTATTTTTGAATTTTTGAAATGAGACGAGTAGAAAATGTTTTAAATGAGCATAACATGCAATTCTCTAGATCCATGATTAGTCTTAGGAGATAGCAGAACAGTTGCATGATGTGATATTGACATAATACTACTGTCAGCTATTGTCGACCTCAATATTTTTTCTGGCGCTGGGAATTGAACCCAGGGTCTTTGCACATAGCTATGTCCTGAGCACTTTTTATTTTTTATTTAGTGTTTTTTTTACTTTTGAGACAGAGTCTTTGTCCCTAAGTTGCTTATGCCAATCTCACACTTGTGATCCTTCTGCCTCAGCCACCCAGGACACTGGGCTTGCAGGTGTGTACCACCTCACCTGGCTTGTTAGCCTGATTTGACTGAGCCACTTTTATGTCCCTGCTCCTCAATCTCTGTTCTGACAATATTTTCCAGGGGTAGCTAACAGCAGGGACTAAACACCCTAGCAGTTATTCCTCACAGGGATGCCTCAGCCCACCTACACGGAAGAGTAGGCTGCAGGCTGGAAAATTGTGCACAGGAAGTCAGCCCATCTCCACAGGAGGGAAGAGAGGGTGGAAGACAGAAAGTAGGACAGTGTGGAGGGGGTGCAGAATTAAGAACAGAGACTTTGGGAGAGGCGACTTGGCAGTTCAGGGGGAAAGAAGACACAATGCCTGATAGTAATGAGGAAAAAAAATCATGTACTCAACCATCTGCTTTCTCTTTCTAGTACCATGGTGTCTCATGTTCTTTCCAACTCATGGAAAAAAGAAAGCACTTTGAAGAGGGTCCTAGAGACTTCCCGTTTTTCTGAGGGAATAGGAGAGAAAGCATTCCTGCTAACATTCTCATAAATCTTTCTCCATCAGTTTATCACAGTCTAACTTGCTTAGACACTCGTGAATAAAAGAAGCCATTTTTTTCTAAAAAACAACGTTCACTTCTTCTTCCATGTATCTTCTTCAATAGATGTGCCAGGATTATGGACCCAGCAGGTAGGGAGTCCAGAGCCTACTCACACCAATCCTTCCTTATAATGGAAGAGAAACTTAGCTATTTAGAATCATTTTTATTTCACCTACAAAGGGAAAATTTAGCAAACAACCATTACTTTTGACTGTCAGATGAATTGTTAATCTAATTTAAAGAGGGCAAGGTCCATATCTCTTGATTACTTCTATCTGCAATGTGCCTCTCCAGTAGTGTCTGGCATACCGCAAAAATTCACTATTTGTTAAATTAATAAATGAATTGGCTAACATATGCTGTGTGGAATATATTGTTTAAATTGATTTTGATCATAAATTCTAGGGTTAGTGGGACAGTCATGATGTCTGTTATGGGTTTGGGGCTGTCATGGTCATTGTGCCATGGATTTGTCACGTCTGCTAAACAGACTGTCCTAACAGTAGCATAAAGTTATAAGTCCCAATATCTCAAAATTTCTGCATAATTTGTTAGACACCAGGAAGTTGTCTATTTCAAAGATTGTTCTAGGAAAAGGAAGGATTGTGAGACGCTTTGTATTTCATAGTTTATTATGACACACATGTATTTATAGTCAATATGAATATTATATGAGTTCGCTGGAAAAATTGTTAGGGTATAGAATGGGACTGAATATTTTTGAATAGCATGAATAGTAAAAGGGATTTGAGACAACAGCAATAGTCACAGGAAAGCATCCTGAATCTTATTTGCTAATTAACCATCTGATTTTTAGGGAACACTTGCTGTGTGCCTGCAGCTATCCTACTATGAAAAGTAATGCCTATTTCGTTGTCTTTTTTCTAGTAGTGTGTTCTTAATCTCACCTTATTATGTGACATGATCCATTAAACAATTAGAACTTTTTCAAATAGCCTAACATGTTATGTATTGTCATTTTCATTATTTTATTAATTTTCTTTCTGACAAAATTTTGTCTTCTGATTCCATTTTTATTGAACACCTCCATTACAGGTTAGTTTTAGTTCAGGGGCACAATACATGTTTCTGATAACTCAGAGCATTGTCTTTGGGATTAATAAAACTCCAACCATTTTCTACCATATGACTGTGATTACTCACTAGATATTAACTCACTATTACTTATTTACTGTTGAATATTTACTTCAGAACATGTTGGTCTCTTTGAGGATTTCTATCCCTGATAAACATTGCCAGATATGCTGGCATTTTATTTTAGTTTTCTTATAAAAAAAACTATATGACAAAGTATTTAGATATCTTTTGAAAAGGCAGGTTGATAGTCTATAGTCTTGTCTACATATCACCAAATCCAGTGTGTGGATTATGAGTAAACTCATATTTAGACATTATTGATTGCTGCTGGATAAAAGTCACAATTCCACGTATGCACTGATTTGGATATTAACATCTGATACCTAGTATATAGAAAAAGTAATATGGCCACTTTATCACGGCAGCTTGTATAAATCTGCCAAACCTCTAGTATAATCCATTAAATCATTTTACTTAAGTAGTTATATTTAACTCCTTTAGTTGATTCAATTGTCTGGCAAATTAAATTTTACACTAATATAACTTCCTACATTTGTTATATTTCTCTTCACTTAAACAAATGGTTTTGTTTATGTTATGCCATATATTCCTTACCACAATCCAGTGAAGTTCTACTCTCTTCATTTTACAAGTGAAGGCCCAAGAATCCACTTTCCAGCAAGGCTCTGGGAGGCTATGGGGAAGGGGTTAGGGAAGGTTGTCAGATTTTCCCTTCGAAGTCTCAGTGGCAGGAGATGGGAAGAGGCAAGGAGGCCGATTAGAGGGCTGCTGTGTGCACCAAGGCAGGAGAGATGGCAATCCCAGTTTGCCATAGTGGTGGTGGGAAAGGAGTTGGTAGATTTGAGGGATTCCATCACCCTTGTTGATTAGATGTCTGATGGGTGAGGGGAAGCAAGGAATCAGGGTGACACTCAAATTCTGCAAGGAACAATTAGGCAGTTTGTTCTCAGTTCCCTAGACAGGTAGAGCTTTGTTCCACTCAATTCCTCTTAACATGAAGATACCATCATCATCATCATCATTATCATCATCATCATCATCCTTCCAGGTACACCTTTGGTGTAGTCTGGGCATGTGGCTTTTGAATTGGATAGCTGAAAAATTGAATCTCCCTGTTATTAAAGCTTTAAAATTTGAAGTCATAAAGAAAAAACTGTAATGTAGTTGCCCTACCCCTAATTTGTTGCTAATTTCAAAAGATTTCTAGAGCAATGATAATGTTAGGGCTATCCAGCTATCCCCTCTGGAGAAAAAAATAGCACTTTCATCATTCTTTTCTGATGTTCTGGTGTGCACAAGAAATTGGCTT